AAAATACAGGTTAATGTGATAAAATATAATAAATTATGTATAAAACCCCCATTATGTTGTACGAGTATATTTTGGCAATAGTCAAAAATACATTGTATGGGTCAAAATTACAGCTAAAAAATCATTAGAATATTCAGTAAATAAGATCATGTTCCATGTTATTTTACAAGATATATATTGTAAACCATTTATTCAATTAATCTTTAAAGCACTTTTTACAATGTTGATTGTGTCAAAGCAGCTAAATATAGATGTTCAAGTAAATTCTACAGTAAATCTATTAAATTTGGGGCATCCCTATATGTGTGTGTTGGTTTCTTTCTCTTTCTGCCATTATAAGGAGCTTAAAAATATAGAAACAGATGTTTTGTCTATGTGTTAAAATGTTAAATGTTGTAAACTTAAACACATGTAAGGGTGTATGTAAGCCTTTTACACCTGCCATTCTGTTAACTCACTTCCCAGAGTGTTTGGATTCTGAATGTATTGCTTATTCTGTTAAATTCAAATGAAAGCATGAATGTGTGTGCTGGTGACCACTCCACAGGTCAACACACGCATACACAGACACATAGGGATGCACCGAATCACCCAATTTTATAGATTTACTGTAGAATCGACTAGAACTTCTTCTATGTTAAGCTGCTTTGACACAATTGACATTGTGTGTTTATGTGTGTGTGTTTGTGTTGACCTGTGGAGTGGTCACCAGCACGGCTCCGTCCACTCTGTGTTTGCGCAGGTTTTCCAGCACAGCCAGATGCTCATCTGACGTCCCGGGCGGTGTGTCCACTAGCAAGATGTCCAGCTCCCCCCAGGCCACATCACTGACAAACTGGCCAATCAGAGCTGAGGATGACATGAGACCTGGTGAACACCTCATCATCATAGTACAAATGCTTAGGTGCCGGGTGAAACAGCAGGGGTCAGACCTGTTTTTTTGGGCCCCCTCCAGATGACAGCCTCATCTGAATCCTCCAGCAGGAAGGCGATGGACATGAGGGCGAGCTGCTGCTGCTGCTGTGGGTCTGCGTATACGGGCACCCAGCCTGAGTCACACTGATGAACCTCTGGCTTACCCACGCTCAGCATACGCGGAATACTGGGACCACAGAGATCCACATCCAGAATACCCACCTGAAACACACACACACACACACACACACACTAATCACAGATGAGAGCAGCGTAGAATAAAGCAGAATGGAACGGAACAAATAGGATAGAGCACAATAGAACAGAATAGAGCAGAATAAAACAGCAGTATAGAATAGAACAGGGGTCACCAATCTCGGTCCTGGAGGGCCAGTGTCCCTGCACGATTTAACTCCAACTTGCCTCAACACACCTGCCTGGGTGTTTCAGCTATACCTAGTAAGACCTTGATTAGCTTGTTCAGGTGTGTTTGATTAGGGTTGGAGCTAAAATCGCCAGGACACTGGACCTCCAGGAACAAGTTTGAGCAGTGGTTCTCAAAGTGGGGGTCGGGACCCCCCGAGGGGTCGCGGGGCAATGAAGGGGGGTCGCCTGGTGATTTTTTCAAAAATCTATTTATTTTTATTAAACCATAAGAATTAACATATTTATCCATAACTGTACTGAAAATAAAAATAGTAGTTTTAGTTTATAGTTACTATATACTATATAGTTACTATAGTAGCTTATAGTTACTAGTTCTATTGGATTGCAACCCCTGGGGTAATTACAGTATATTAAAGGCAGCAATAGCGTCAGATGCAGTTTGATTTTATAACATCAGGTTATACTTTCTAGCACATTTAAAGCACTGACACGAATTTAATTTGTGTGTCTGCGTCATTGCATGCAAGGTTTCTGTATTTATAACCACCTCAGAGGATATTGGGGGTCGCGAGTCACTGGCATTGTTATTTTGGGGGTCGCGGGCTGAAAAGTTTTGGAACCCCTGGAATAGAGAATAGCATATTGGAGCAGTATACAATAGAAGAGAATAGAGCAGAATGGAACTGAATAGAATGGAGCAGAATGGAGCCGTAGAATAGAAAATAGCATATTGGAGCAGAATATATTTGAGCATAATGGAACCTAATTTAATAGATCTGAATGAAACAGAGTAGTACATAATGGAGCAGAATAGAACAGAACATAATGGAACTGAATTAAAAAGAGCAGAATGGAACAGGGGAGTATACAGCAGCATGGAACAGAACTAAATATAATAGAGCACCATAGAACAGAATAGAGCAGAATGCATCAGAGCTGAATAGAATATGCAATGGCATATTGGAACAGAATAGAGCATAATAGAAGAGAATTGAACACAGAGGAGTACAGAATAGAGCAGCATGAAACAAAAAATAATAGTGCATAATAGAATCAGGGTGTCTGCAGGGTCCTAAAAGGTATTACAAGTTGAACAATGAATTATGAGAAAATTAAGCCCCTTAAAAGTTTTAATCCGGATTTTACAAGGTCTTAAAGTTTGTTCAAGCATTGTTCAAAGTTTTTGACTCCAAAAAAAGCATAAATATATTTATGTTCCTCGATCCACGCGAGTGGTTCAGGCCGGGGCGCGTCTGACCAAGCTCCTTCATCAGGGAGATGTCACGTAATTTGCCACAAACGTGGGAAGGTGGTGTGATGTGCTCCACATGTAGCAAAATCATAGAGCGAAACTGACTGCAAAATGGGAAAATGTAAGTTTGCGTACTCCTAGTTGGAGAAAGACGAGTTTAAACAGTGGCTGAAGCCTGTCTCTGAAAGCAACCAGTTCATTTTTTTTAAGCTTTGTTTCTTCCGAGCTTATCTGAGTTCTGTTGCATGGTCGTGCTCCATTGATTTATTTTACCAAAACTGTTTATTAAGTTAAAGGCTTGATACTGATTAGAACTTGAAGTGGCGACAAGGCAGCGGGACAGATGAGAATAGAACAGAATAATCACCTTCTTTCCTGCATGTCTGAAGGCGAGGGCGAGTTCAGTGGTGATGGTGCTTTTCCCTACGCCACCTTTACCAGACAGAACCAGAAGCACGTGCTTCACCTGATCCAGATTTCCCTTTCCTGACACACACATATGAGGTAAACTAAACATTACTCTTCTTCATTACTTCACGTTTACATTTAGCCATTTAACAGATGCTTTTGTCCAAAGTGACTTACAATCGAAGAGGCATTCATCGATTTAACAAAAGGCAATATACACAGTGCGCGGGTTACGTTTTTAAAAGAGAGAAGAGTGTTTCTGAAATTGAGGGAAAGTTGGTTTTATTTAGATGAGAGGCACGGTAGCCCAGTGGTTAGCACTGTTGCCTCACAGCAAGAACATCACTGGTTCTAGTCCTTACCAAGCCAGCTAACATTTACATGTTCTCCCTGTGCTCACGTGGGTTTCCCCGGGGTTCCCCTGGTTTCCTCCCACCGTCCAAAATCATGCAACTTAAGTTAATTGACTAATCTAAATCGCCAACATGCTCCTAGTAGGTATTTATCTCTTAAGAGCAATCACTATCTGTTCATTAGCTACTACAGCAGGGGAGTTCTCGAGATCTACCTAAGCTCAAACTCCCCTCTCGCCAATGGGAGGGAGCACTGGCTCGAGGATCTTATGAGCTCAGGGCCCTCTCCCGGGACAGCATGCCAAACAAGCTTTATAATCAATTATCAGTTAAGTATGAACTCTTGAAATCATTATTTAGAATTTGCAGATAATACTTTTCTGAAATTATGCTTGGAGTATATATTTGGATTATTATATTTGGAGGAAGTCCAAATGTGTGACTACAAAACCAACTTTACCCCAGTGTTTCTACAGGTGGTTGTCAAGCCCACTCACCTGTGTGAAGCAGACTTCATAAATGAGACAATGTTTTTTAGAGATATGGAGTGATTGTAAGAAAGTGTCTTTAAAGTATAATTATATATATATATATATATATATATATATATATATATATATATATATATATATATATATATATACATACACTGTATTACAATATTTTAACCCTTTAATCTACACTCTAAGAAATGTTTTTGACAAATGTCTTTGGTTAAATTCATAGAATATACGGTTAAATTCATAGATAGTCTATAAGTTAATGTTTTTAACCTCTAATGTTGTACTTTAGTCACTAGTGGTACAGTGATGTAGCATTAATAATGTTGCATAGCTCCAAATGATATAATCCGGGTAAATGTCCAGCAAAACACTGTAATACAGTCTCGATGTCTTAAAATATGACAATGTGGTTTATTTACGCAACAGTTTTACTATGTTTAGTTGCATGTCAAGACACTGTGTTTGCCTTCACATGTATTTCAGTAACGTATCGCTTGTATTATTGCACTTTTACTACACCTTAAATGGGCAACTGTGAAGTGATTCGGTTGTATTACATAAAAACTTGTCCTGCTAATCGATGTGATCAGACTTACCGCTGCCATCCATGTTGTTTTACTTCCGCAAGTTAAACGTCATTTTGACGTCAGGTGTTTTGGTCCCGCCTAAAGATCAAGCTCATCCAATCGGATGCAGGAGTGAGCCGACTTATGACGCCCAAACTAACGTTTAAAGTGTTGAACGAAGGCATTTTTATTTTATTTTTATTTATCTGGTTGTTATTCTTTTATTCTACGTGTAATAATATGTACTGATGGTAGCATGTTGCATTTATCTTGTTGTCATGTTCAAATTATAGACTAAATAATATTCAAACGTAAAAAAAAGTGTTTTAGTGACACAGATTCATAAAGTAAAGAATAATAAATAGCATTAATATTATTTTCAGATGCGCTTAAACGGATTTATCCTTTTATGCTTGAACTTACTCATGAATATTCATAGTATAATACCAGCCCGCAGTGCATAATAATGCAAATACAGGTTTGTGTTGCTCAGTCGTTTGAGTTCACCGCGTCACTGATGTCTGCATGTTGGTCTGTAGGTCATATAATTTGTCGTTTTAGGTGAAGTTGACGGAAAGCCAGCCCGAGCTGATCCTTAAAGCGGCCTTTAATGAGGATGATAGACAGAATGACCTGTCCCGTCTGTCAGGTAACTACTATGGCGAACACTGTGCACATTGAAAATTAACTACGTAGAAAGACGTTTGTCCAATAAAGCAATCCGATTGGCTGAGAACGAGACAATATAGGCGGGCGCTACTCCGTCAACCAATGAGATTTTACTGTCGCAAGACGATACAGGAAGGTTACCAAGCAACGCCGAATGACCTAATTGATAGTCATGAACTACTCCTTTACCATAGTATGATTGATGGCTGGTGTTATTGGTGTGTGTAGATGTAGGTCAGCGCACTAACAGGCATCTGCTATATCACTTACAGCAGCTCCAGATGGAGACGTGTGTTTAAAGCAGAAGATACAAACTCTACGAAACCTTCTCAAGGTATGAGAGCTTTTATGTTTACATTTTGTGGGTCGCAAGTAATAAAACTTTAGCAGAAGTTGTGTTGGGTTGGACGTGTAGTGATTTCTGAAAGTGCACACGTTAAAAACTATCGTCTTAAGTTTTTTAGGTGAATAAAATGAACTTTTCTAGTCATCTCAACCTACATTAATCAAACTGACTCAATATATCAAGTTAAACTTTGTATAACTTACATTTTTGTTGTTGTTGAAACCTGATTAACTTATTAAAACAATTTAAAGCAACATAAACAATATATAAACAGGCTATTAACTTATTAAAACAAATTAAAACAACATAAAAATATATATATATATATAGGTTATTAACTTATTAAAACAGGTTAAAGCAACATAATATATATATATATATATATATATATATATATATATATATATATATATATATATATATATATATATATAGGTCAACAACTTATTTAAAATAGATTAAAGCAGCAAAAAATGTATAAATAGGTTATCAACTTATTAAAACAGGTTAAAACAACATAAAAATATATAAATAGGTTATTACTTATTAAAAGTAGATTAAAGCATATATATATATATATATATATATATATATATATATATATATATATATATATATATGTATATATGTATGTATGTGTGTGTGTGTGTGTGTGTGTGTGTGTGTATGTATGTATATGTATATATATATATATATATATATATATATATATATATATATATAAACAAGTTACAATTTTATTTATATTACAGTAAAATACAATATTACAATTGCTATATTGTCTTGACTGTCGTTGCATGTTATTACAGTGCAGGATGATGATGATAATAATAATACATATTATTAAATGTCATAACTCTAACCTAACTACTGATATATTTGATCTAGTGTAATTAATATTGTAATTAATAGAGTTAGAATTGATAGTATATTTTATCTATGTAGAAAGTTGTGGAAAAATTGTATCTGTGTAATTGTATGTAATTAATATTTGATAAAGTTTGTGACTCTTGGTGCCGACAGGAAAAACTCTAGTGATTATGGTAGGAAGTTGTAAAGTATATAAACCCGTGCAATATAATGACTATAATCAATAATAATATCAATAAATATTTATAAAGGTAATAACTCTTACTTAACTACTGATATATTCAATCAATTATGATTAGTGAAGGTTTGTAATACTGTTAGTGTGATGATGAGTGTATTTTGTATTATTGTAATTAGTAGAGTTAGTATTAATAGTATATTTTATCTCCAAATGAGGTTTGGGGGATATATTTCATCAGTGTGTTTATATGTAATTAATATTTGAGAAAGTGTGTGACTTTTGGTGCTGACAGGAAATACTCTGGTGATTATGGTGGGAAGTTGTAAATTATATAAACCCATTTTCGTGTGCAATATGATGACTATTATAATTAATAAAAATATCAATAAAAATTAATATACATAACAACGGAAACTTAACTACTGATATATTTAATTGATTATGATTGAAGATTTGTAATAATGTTAGTGTGATGATATGTATATTTTGTTTTGAGTTAGTATTGGTAATATTTTTTATCTATATACGAGGTTGTGGAATATATTTTATCTGTGTATTTATATGTAATTAATATTTAAGAATGTGTGTCTGATGAAAGGACATACTCTGGTAATTATTTTAGGAAGTATATAAACCCATTTTATGTGCAATATGATGACTATAATAATTAATAATAACATCAATAAATATTAATAAACCTAATAATGCTAACTTAACTATTTATATATGTAATAATTTAAGTTTTTGAATATTGTTTGTATTATAATACATATATTTTGTGTTGTTAGTTTGTATTGGTTGTTATTTTATTATTATTCATGTCTGAGGTTTGGAGAATATATTTTATCAGCGCATTTATTTATATTATGCATATGTATTATCAACTTTTATCATAATATACTATGCATATGTATTATTAACTGATCTTGATATATTTATATATATCCTACAAGTTAAAAGTCAAAATCCATTGTCAAGCACTGTTATCTGCTTTTATACTATTTTATGCATTTTATCTAAGTCTAGTTACCTATAATAATAAATAATTATGCATTCTGTTTTGAAGGTAGGGGTCATGTTATTTGGCAATGAGGAGTATTTGTACTTAATAGTAAATATTAATAATACTAATAACAGCTTTAATAAAAATAGCAACAATAATAATAAAATTAAAATAAATAACAATAAAAATACAATGCATAATCATAAATACTCATATATATTTCTCCTTATATATATAACATATATATATATGATTTTAACCTAAAACACTGATGTTGTTACCTACTTGAATTACCATGTTGCATTACTTCTTGCGCAATCTTGTTTGTTTTGAATATGTTATGTTATGAAAATGTGCTCGTGCCAGTGTAATGCATACTTACTTGCACCATTGCATTTACTTAGAAGCACACAACTTAAAAAGAAGGAGCAGTTGGTCAGCTCAGGGCTGGTTGAGGTATCCAGGGCAGGATTCTCGTTTTGGATACACGTTATCCATCAATTAGTGAACACCTGGCTCTGTCGTGTGCACATTAGGGACAGAATCAATTAAATCTTTCAATCCAATTATACATGAATGTATGGAGTATATAAACATTTGCAATGCAATCATAACCTATATGAATATCATTAAATAGGATTTAGCCTACATAAAAAATAAGAATAAATTATAAAGCATGCATTTCCAATGTCTGAGCAATGCTGTTAGAATTTATAAGACCATCAGCTTTGTCTGGTGATGCTTTTTTTTAAAGTTTTTGGCCTCTTGTGGAGTGTTTTGAAAACTCCTACAGTGTAAACATCAGAATGATCTGAGCAGATCAGATGAAGTATGTCAGACCGGAGTCTCAGATTGCCAGCCGTGGCATATGGAGCAATCAGAAATAGGCTCGAGTGCCAGCCAGCAGTCAGCAATCTGTCGCTGCAAAACAAGTTCATGGCAAAGCCTGACATCTGTGAGTCAGCGGATCAGCTGTAGTGACACTGACATTACTGGGATAGATAGATAGATAGATAGATAGATAGATAGATAGATAGATAGATAGATAGATAGATAGATAGATAGATAGATAGATAGATAGATAGATAGATAGATAGATAGATAGATAGATGAATAAATGAATGGATAGATAGATAGATAGATAGATAGATAGATAGATAGATAGATAGATAGATAGATAGATAGATAGATAGATAGATAGATAGATAGATAGATAGATAGATGGATGGATGGATGGATGGATGGATGGATGGATGGATAGATGGATGGATCGATGGATGGATGGATAGATCGATGGATGGATGAATGGATGGATGGATAGATGGATGGATAGATGGATGTATATAGATGGATAGATAGACAGACTGACAGACATTAACATATTTTGTGTTCTTGTGTTCCAGGAATGTCTTGGAATAAGTATGCTGTCAATGAAGATGTCCCGGAGACTGAAGCCACACCCATCATCAAGGAGACTGAAGCCACGCCCATCACAAAGGCGACTGAAGCCACACCCCTCACCACAGCCCTCATTTCAGAAGAGAAGCAGGTTGTGGGCTCACAGGTGAACATGAGTCTGGCATTCAACCCTCACACGCTGAACTTATTTCTGTACACATATTATCATGCATTACCTGGGCATCTGGCCAATCAGCGTCTCAAATGAAATGTTTACAGCTTCGTACTGATAAATTTAAAGCAGTCTGTGGGAAATCAAAAGTTACAATGTTTATTTTGCACATTGCTATTCTATATGTGAACAATTTATCTGTGCAAGTTAATCCACCGAATAAAAAAAGGTGAAATCTGAAAAACAGAATAAAAAATATCTGCTTCTGTGTTCAGGGCATCTTCTTCCTTGATTATGTTAGTTTGATGCATTATTCTTAACCACACCCCTTTTACTATTAGTTTGCGACAAGGGAATGCTGCCCCCCCATGTCAAGATTTATTTGGAAGTGGGATGTTGAATAACGTTGAATGACATGATGTTGAATTTTCACTTTCAATCAAGACAAAAATAATAAATCATTTAAAATGCAGTAAATGGTTAAATATTTATTTGTTTTCCATAATCCCCTTTTGGAAACACTGTGGGCCCTATCACACACCCGGCGCAATGTGGCGCAAGGCGCAACTCAATTGTTGTTTGGTAGTTTCAGCTCAGCGCAAGAGTTGTTTTGACATTTTGCATCACGCTGTTTAAATAGCAAATGCATTTGTGCTCATATCTGCGCCCATAGGCGTTCAGGTCTAAAAAAGCAGGCGTGTTTTGGCGCGTTGCTATTTTGAGAAACTATAATAGTGTGTTCTTCAGACCAGAACAAAGCCGGTCTATTGTACAGCGCAGAGTGTGCCTCGCTTACACACTGCTTAACACACAAGATGTAGAGCAATACGCAAATATCTTTACATATGAAAAATAATTAAAGTATTAAGGATATATATATAGGATGTAATAAGAATATATATAGGATATAAATATAAAGGATTAAAATATTACAAAACATATTATTTTCTAGCCTACATGAATTTAAAAATCACTGCTTTTATGTCTTCTTCATCTCAGGGGGCTTTTTCAGTTTATTCAATTTGCTTTTGTATAATGTTATTATTATTAGCTGTATTATTTATTATATCCATATTTATATTTGTTTTATTAAAAACAAGCTTAGATTTGCCCACCTGTCAGGTTTTAGACCATATGGGGCACTGCATGTGTACTAGGATATAACTCAATTTTACTACAACTTTATTCGTTTGCTGGAAATTAGAACTGAATTTAGAAATAGTTTTGAAATAAATCTTTGTGCTTAACAAACTAAATTAATTATTTAAAGGCTAATTGATGTCTGTGCGGTAAGGTTTCCCTATCCACGAGAGCGAAAGTGAAACTAGATTATGAGATGCCTTATCTCTCATTCTCGCGCTGTAGATGCTCTGTTTAACTGTTTTCTTGCTAGTGAAATGCTCCGTTTTTCCACTTACACTCACTTTATGTCCTGTAAATAGCAAATGCACTTATGGCACGACTGGCTCTTAAAGGAAATTGGAGAAGAGACTCTGATTGGTTTATTCTCTAAACACACCTATAGCTCATTGAGAAAATAAACTGAACCCTTTTAGACCATGCGCCACGGCGCAAAGCGGATTTTTCCGCCCTTAAATTAGTAAAAGTGGATTCTGACACGCCCTGAAAGCATTTGTGCCCTGCGCTTTGCGCATGGACCGTCAAAATAGAGCCCTATGTAATTGTTCAGATTTGTTGTCCTTTAGTGTGAAACCTCTGTTTAATTGCTCCCACACTATTGTTTTTCTTAATTTTATTGTAGTTTGGTAAAAAAAAAATCTATTTTTCAATTTTATTCATATATATTTTTTTTTCTAGTTTCCCTTTATATTTTTCTCAAACTTCAGGCTTCACACTACATAAATATAACTTTTTGTACAAATTTTTTACTGCCTGTTTGTCAAGTACATTAACATACTGACATAAAAATTTCAGCAAATTCAAATCTACGCATATTAATTTAACATTATTATACTTTAATATGACTTTAATATAACAACAGTATTATTAACTTTAATTTAACAATGCAAAACAGGCTTTAATTTAAATTAAATTAAAAAAAATTGGTCACACTTTACAATAAGGTTCATTAGTTAATGTTATTTAATGCATTTACTAACATGAACAAACAATGAACAATACATTTACCACAGTATTTGTTCATGTTAGTAAATGTTAGTTAATGAAAATACAGTAGTTCATTGTTAGTTCATGTTAACTCATGGTGCATTTACTAATGTTAACAAGCATGGACTTGGATGTTAATAATGCATTAGTAAATGTTCAATTATGATGAATAAATGCTGTACAAGTGTTGTTCATGATTAGTTCATGTTAGTAAATGCATTAACTAATGAACCTTTTTGTAAAGTGTTACCAAAATTTTTAATGCCACCTCGATATTTCACCTGTTTTATTTGTTTGTGTGTGTGTGTGTGTGTGTGTGTGTGTGTGTGTGTGTGTGTGTGTGTGTGTGTGTGTGTGTGTGTGTGTGTGTGTGTGTGTGTGTGCAGACTGACTCTGTTGGGTATGAGGAGGTGACGGTGTGTGTGCCAGCCGAGATGCCCCCGGTGGTACCCGTGACGGGAGAGTCGTTCTGCCAGTGTCCCGCTCAGACTGAACTCAGCTCAGATGCCCAGATCAGCCCATACACCCTCAGCTGCACCTGCGGAGAGGAGGAACAGGGTGAGCGGTTCACTGTCAGATGCATTTGTGGGACTTACACTAGAACAACTCGCATTACCTTTGAAACGTTTGGAGTTCAATCATCTACTGTTGAAGTCAAAATGAGCCGCCCTGCTCTGTTTCAGATATTTCCCAAGTGATTTCTAGTATTTCCTATAATATTTTTCCTCTAGGGAGTCTTACTTTTTAGTTTTTAAGTAGTTTTATATTTTTGAAATCTAATTTTAAGGTCAGTATTATTTTTAATTGTCAATTGAACAAGTCATTATTTAAAAACTTGCCTGATTAACCTAACTTGCCTAGTTAACCCAATTTAATCTGAATACTAGTATCTTGAAAATGACATAGTCAAATATTATGAGCTGAAAACCATCATTGTAGGCTGCAAATATGGTTCCTGTACAAAAAATGAGAGACTAATGCTGAATTTCTCTTACAGTTAACATTTGAAGTCATGTGTTTGTGTGTTCAGGGTGTGATTGGGTTTGGGATGAGGAAGATAAATCCTCCTCTGTGTCTCTGAGCTGCTGGAACCGGACGGTGAGTTTCCACTCGGAGTATAGCTGCGGGACGGCCGCCATCAGGGGCTCCAAGGCCCTCAGCGACGGCCAGCACTTCTGGGAGATCAAGATGACCTCTCCCGTCTACGGCACTGATATGGTGACATATGAAGACACTCATTCATTCATTTTTTTTTCGGGTTAGACCCGTTATTAATCTGGGGTCGCCACAGCGGAATGAACCGCCAACTTATCCAGCATATGTTTTACGCAGCCGATGCCCTTACAGCTGCAACCCATCACTCGGAAACATCCATACACACTCATTCACACACATACACTACAGACAATTTAGCTTACCCAGTTAACCTATACCACATGTTTTTGGACTTGTGGGGGAAACCGGACCACCCGGAGGAAACCCACGCTAACACGGGGAGAACATGCAAACTCCACACAGAAATGACCCAGCTGGGGTTTGAACCAGCGACCTTCTTGCTGTGAGGCGAGGCCCATATATGAAAACATTCTTTAGTTTTTATTAACATCCTCATTAGCCTCTACCACCAATGGCCTGGCTTTTCTTCCTGGACTTGAATAAATAAAGCAACAAATTTACATTAAGGGGGGCATATTATACAAATATCACTTTTATAAGGGGGTTAAACACAGTTGTGTGGAAACAGTGTGTGAATATAACCAGATTCTAATGGTAAATACGTATTCATTTCATTTTTTTTATAACCACACTTGATAGAAAGAGTCTGCAGAAACACTCTGACTGACATTCTCCCTTTGTAGGTGTCATCAGAGGGGGAAAGCCCCGCTCACTAGTGACCATCTCTCCCTCATTAGCATAAACAGCTTTGAATGAGAAGCAGCCGTCCGCCACTAGATTTATGAGCTGCTGAAGATAATGTCAGCAACTATGATACCTAAATGTAGAGTTTTAGATGAAGCACAAATGAACAGCGACAGGAGTCTCCATTGACCAAGAGTGCCCAAATGTTTTATTATGAAGGGCCGAAGATTAAACCTGATTGAGGCCTGTGGGCCGAAGTTAAATATAACAAACTGTATTACATTAAAGTTGCCATGGGTAATTTCCTAATTTATTTAAGATTTTTAAAAATAGAAAACATCACGTTAATCGTATTAACTGAAGCATTTTTATACATTTTATAATAAACATATTAGAATAAAAACAATGGAGTTCAATGCTGAAAACACTGGTCAAGCTGCACATCCTTTTTGCATTGATTTTCTAGCCAAAGTCTTCTGCATTGTGCTCTATCCATCAAGTGACAGTATGTAGGTGGGCCTACATTTTAAAAAAATCTGACACATTAATCTAGGTTAGCTTTTTTGTAGCTTAACGATAACACTAACAAACAAAAGATTATATTTATTTTTAATTTAATTATTTAATCTCTATTAAAGGTAATGCCCGACCCCTACCCATCATTCTCCCTATAGAACCCGCGGGCTCTAGTTTGGGCATCTCTGCCATAGACTCACGCATTCTGACATACTGACGCACACAATTTTAGCTTTTCACACAGAAAATGTCAGTCTTTTGAATCTGCCACTATGCTGACACACAGGCATTTGTAGCTCCGCCCTCTTTTGAAAACGACACAATCAGTCTGAAATAACAATTTGAATCTAAAGCGACATTCACCAAAACGGCACAATTAAAGCCTAAAAAGGGTCAGTTTCAGAGTTATAAAACATTATCTGTGTGGTATTTTGAGTTGAAACTTCACAAACACACTCTAGAGACATCAGAGACGCATTTCACATCTCGCAAAAAAGTGCATAATAGATCCTCTTTACTACATAACAATAAAAACCAGTACCAAAACCAAAGGGCAAATAAACCTTAAACTAAAACTATAGAAATCAATACCAAAACTAAGAGATGCAATATTCTATAATCCAGTCAGACATCTTCACAATGCTGTCATTTAGGGTATCTGGGGTATCCGCAGGCTCTTAGAAACATTTTACAATGTCTTAAGTATCTAGATTCTCAATTTTAGGTCTTAAAAAGGTCTTAAATTCACTAAAATATTGTGTTGTGGGTCTTAAATTATTTTAAACAGTTCTTAATTTTCCTGTCTATGTAAAGCTACCCAATCACTATCATTCTATCTTAATAAAAGTTTATTTATTAACTCTTATTTATTAAATCCATTAACCGACTCTATTTATATTTCTATATATAAACATATGGTTTAACTATCTTCCTTACAATAACATTTTTTTTTTTTTAATTTAAGTTTTAACTGGTCCATTAGAAAAAATCCTTATCGGTTAGCCTTGTGTATGTCTGAAATTTCATTCATAATGGTCTTAATCAAACCTGTAGAAACCCTGGTTACTCCAATAAACAGTTGTGATGATGTTTGGAATGTCTGGAAACAGATGGAAATTAATATTTAAATATGCGTTGTTGAATATTTATGACTGCAGATGGTTGGCATCGGGACATCAGAAGTGAACCTGGATCAGTTCAAGCATAGCTTCTGCAGTCTGCTGGGCACAGATGAGGACAGCTGGGGTCTGTCCTACACAGGTGAGGTCAGAGGTCATGTTACCCATAAAAACTGGACTTTATGTCCACCCAATGTATCCTGATGTCTTTTTACGTAAAAAAAGAAATGAGTACTTTCATTCAACATCAGTGCTCATTCAAAATCAAAAGGGAGACTAAAGAAAATTATAGTGTTACAAAAAAATAAATAAATGCTATTTTTACTTATTATTTTTCATTTATTTATTCATTTACCTTCAGCCTTAGTCCCTTATTTATCAGGGGTCGCCATAGTGATATTTAGTGGAGGCATTTGTACTTAACTAACTCCTTGTGTTCATCTGTGTTATCCTGGTTTAGGTCACCTCCACCATAAAGGGTCAAAGGTGAACTTTTCTTCACGGTTTGGTCAAGGGTCTATTATCGGTGTTCATCTGGACGGCTGGCATGGCACCCTGAGCTTCTACAAGAACCGCCGCTGCATTGGTAAGACAAACCATAAGGCAAATTATTTACCCTCCTGTGACATTCTTTTACAAATATCTCCCAAGTGCTGTTTAACAGAGCTTTTTCAACACATTTTTAAGCATTATAGTTTTAATATGTAATTCATAACAACTAATTTATTTTGTCTTTGCAATGATGGCAGTACTTAATATTTGGCTACTTATTTGCAAGATGCTAGTATAAGTGCAATTTAAATGCTTAGCTAGATTAATTAGGCAAGTTAGGTTAATTCAGGGTTCCCACGCTTCTTGTAAGTGGTTGAAAGCACTTGAATTTCAGACATATGGATTCAACTACTTAAAAACAAACACAGGTCCTTGAAAGTGCTTGAATTC